TATTAGGGCCTGACGTACAGGGGAGACAGTCCAGTGGAGGAAGGTTGGGGAGGAAAACCACAACCACCTACAAACACCATGCAGCTAATAGAGCATTTTCACTTACTACCCCTCCCACCAACAACCTCCACCTGGCAGCCTTAAGGTAACCCACAACACGGGACCTCAATCCCCCATATGGCTGGTGTCCCACAAAATGGGCCAGGGGCCTCAGACGTTTACCATAGATAAGGAAGGAATCTCCAGGTTAGCCACTCCCAAATTACCTAGCTCAGAACATACATTCAGGTGTATCTGCCACACAGGATCATTCTAAGGGGGTGCTTAATTTATTGCTGTCAGGTGTGCTTGCCCTACCGTGTGTGTGTGTGTGTGTGTGTGTGTGTGTGTGTGTGTGTGTCATGGTGCTGGAGACATGTGTCTGAAGTGATAGACGTATTTCTCTGACCATTTAGAATTTTAGGTTCTTAGCAGCATATCTGAACCATCTTCTCAGGAGCTAAAACACTACAAATACAGAGACTCCATTCTCCAAACTGAAGTTGTTTTGGTTTTGGCTTTTTTTCTGAATTGTGTATTTATTTCTGTCTTAAAACTTTTAAATCAGCACATTTGTGAATTGGGAATTTATTTCTTAAAACTTTAAAATGAGCACATTCAGTTATATATACATACGTAATAGATTGCCATTATAGAAAATAATACAATCAGGTGAAGTTAAGAGTACTGTTGTGGACATACCCAAGACTGTCAGCCACAACAAATGTTCAGTCCTTAGAACCATGGGAATTAAGATACAGTGTAGTAATAAGGAGTAAGTGGTCTGATTTCACCTTACCAAATCAGGCTCTTAGCCATTGTTACAATCATACTCTAACTCTGTCTTTTGACCCTCCTTTGAATGTCCTATGCATGTGCATTAAATTAATAAATATTTATAAAACACCTGCAGTATGCTAGATACCTTGCTAGGTGTTAGAGATATGAAGGTACAGTCACTGACCAACAGGAATTAGCAGCCTAGTGGAAGAGATAACCAGTTCAACCAGTGATTACCACACTCCATTTAGAGTGTGAACCAAAAAGCCAGAGTCCTCTGGTGGCACAGAAGGGGTAATTAAATTAGAGCAGCTAATTCTTCAAGGATGAGAGTCATGAGCTAGGAAGAGTATTCCAGACACTAAGATCAGGAGACACAAAGGCACAGAGGCAGGAATTAGCCTGGTGCAGGGAAGGAGTCACTAGTAATTTAGTGTGGTTGCAGCAAGATTTAGGCATGTTCAGAGGAACTGGAGAGAAACATAGAGGGAAAAAAAATTTAATTTTAATAGAGAAAAAACTTTTAAAAAGAGAGAAGCCTAGAGGGGTATGTAGGCAGGAGGCAGAACTGAAGAGGCTTGGTGTGTATAGGAAAGGGCTGAGATGGAAAGATCGAGAAGTAAGAGGCTGATCAAGCTCACCCTGTTCACAGCAGTACTCCTCATGTGTCCTCAAGCATGTCATTGGGCCTTAGAGTCCTCATCAGTATAACCAGAGAACTGGGGAGAGTTGTTCCCAAACCATGAAGCATTGTTCCAGTAGATGTGACAAGATGGGCTATGAAAAATGTTTTCATTACTTTGATAGTTTGGGGAAGACTGAATACCGCATTGGCTTCTTAAGACTAATGATGACTCTAATATATTAAAGGTTTCTAAAGTCCTCCAGTAAAAACACTACTTCAGTTTTTTTTAAGTCAGTATTTTCCAAATTATCTGGAGTGAGAGCTTATTTTCTGTAACAGAATTATTAATGTCATGAGGCAGAGCCCCATACTGGCAAACAGTAGACTAGTTCTCAAAGGCACAATCATCTTTATTTATTCACTGATTAATTTTTTTAAGTACAGAACCAAACAACTGGTTCATATATACCCACTTTATACTTTAAATTACCACCGTGTCCCTGTAAGAAACTTTAGGTGTTTATTTTCCACAGCAGTTTTATTATTACTATTATTACATCAACTGTCCTGGGATTTTTTTTTTCTTTTTTCATTTTTCATGACATGCACAAACTTTATTACCTGGTAATACATTGCAAGAAATGTGAATTGAGTTGTTTCTAAGCAAATATCAATCATTTATGATTTGTTTAATAGAAATTATAATGAAGAAAATCAGGGTTTTGCTTATTATAAAGTCATTATAGTCAACATTAGCAAATCCCAAAATTAATAATGTGTCAGTAAATCATTTGCATTGCTAAAGAGCTAAAATAAATAAAAACAGGGTTGACCTTGTTAAAATTTTGATGTTTTCAACATTTATCTGTCAGAGCCACTGATTTGGAAATTGTTATAAATTCTTGAAAAAATGGAAACTTTTTTCCCTGTAAAAATACCCATCATTTGGCCAAATACAGTGTCATTTTTCTTCAAGAGAATGTAGTGATTGATTATCCAGAGTGCTACCATGACAAGGTAAACCAACCAAATAGCTGGAAAATTGTATGTAATCATATAGCATCACAGAGGCTCTGTGTTGAGCACAACCATTATAATTAAACAATGGCATTCTAATCGTTCCCTGCCGGTACTTCCTGTTCATCCCCAAAACCTTGACCTCCCGTGGATATGCAGAGGTGTTTGCAGTCATCCCTTCCCCTCCAAATGCTATTGGCACAATTCTAGTCAGCTGAAAGCACTGCAATAAATACAAGCCAAACCCAAACCACCCAAGGAGATTTCAAAATGCAAAGGTGCCTGTGTCTAACATCCCTCACACATAAGACATTGAGAGATTTGTTGTATTATCGTTACTAATATAGTTTCTTTTGTTAGTCGTTGTCTTGAAAATGCTGAGAGATTATAAACAACTGGGGGAAGGGAAGGATGGAAGATGGGCGAAAAGAGGAATGCTGATCCCTCTGGAGAGGCTGATAATCTATTCAGGAAGACAAAATACACCTGAGGTGACTTGAGAGCAGTTACACAGTATTCGCCCAGTATGAGAGCAGCAGTACGCAAACTGAATACATGAGTCATTGGGGCCAACAAAGTAAAGGAGCATTCCAATTATCCTTGGTTATTAGAGAACTAAACTGAGTCATAAGAAAGGAAGGGGCACCCAAACCTACCCCAGAGATGGTTATCAACAGCATAATTGGGAATAGAACCAGGCCCTTTCTCCCCATAATCAGAGGAATCTCCTCATGCTCGTCTTCCCTGCAATGTTTTAGATTTTAAACAGGCTTTGTTAGGATAACTGAACTCCACTCTCCTTTATTAATTGCTGCCCACATGTTGTAGAATATCTTGTGTTCTGAATCAGGATGAGGATTTTAAATTCTTCTTAGCGTAGGGACGGGTAGCCAGGCAGAATCAATTCCTGTCACTCACACACAAATACAGAGGAATGGGATTATGGATCAGGGTGAAGCTGCAGTGCTTTAATCTTAAAATCAATACAGAAAAGGAAGTTGAACTTGTGGGGATTCTATAGAGACTGTAATTTGGCTTCCTATGAGGGTTGCTTACAGAATAAAACTGCTCCTTCCTTTTCACCTTCTGATGATTGTATTGGGGGTGGGAAAAATGAAGGGAAGGCGAAAGATGACAAGAAACTTCTACCACCAAATCTTCTTGAACACACGTGCAAATGCAACTCATAATTCAAGCCAATCCCCCATTGTGTTGAGAAGAGCTATATACCTTTGTTTATTCTTTTGATTTTTAGAAAAATAATTAGCCAAAACCCTGTACCCCATAATCTGTATTTAAACATAATAAAAATGCCTTTGATTCCTTCATAGTTCACTGTCAGACTGGAAAAGTATGTTTTTAAGCTTACTCTTATGGCTAAGCTTACCATAGCCTATGTAATTTTATATAAATACAAAATCAACAAACCAGTTATTGACCAAAGGATTCCAAGCTGCTAAGCATGTGATTAATATTTACCCCATGTGATTAATATTAATATTTATTTTGAAAGAGGCATGAACTAATGGTTTAAACAACTCAATCTTTTCTTTATCAAAGATTTAGAATTTGTTGAATATCCCTCTTTTCAGTTATAAACTGATTTGCTGCGTAGTGCTGTCAGCATCTAGCTTTAAGATGGGCTTATTTTACCCTTTGGATAGTTTTTTAATTCAGTTTTAAAATATGTCTGAGTGTGTTTGGACCCTGCATGTATAGTGGTGACAGCAGTATGAAACACTGTAATCTCATGGGAAAATGCACTGCGGGCAGCAGAACTCCGGTCTGGCTCTGAGGCAGAATGGTACAGTTAGAAAACCAAAGCCTAGAGCTCCTTCTTTGTTTACTTTATCTTTCTAAGCTTGTTTCCTCATCTTTAAACTGGAGATGATTATAGGAGCCACCTGATAGTTAGGGGTGTTGAGAGGATTAAATGAAATAAAATATACAAGGTGCTTAGCATTGTACTTTGCACTTGTAAGAACCCTGTAAATGTTCATGATTATCACGATTATTATGTGAGTCTTAAGTGAGATAACATATGCTGTGTATGTGAAAACATTCTACAAGCTGTAAAACACAATACAAATGTTAGTTGTTATTCTGAATAGATTGATGGTTTTGAAACTTTTAGAATAAATCATGAAAGGTTTTTTTCTTTGTGCTGCCTGTCATAGGTCCCTAATCTCAAAAAGCCTTGGAGTGATGAATCAGGCTCCGACTGAATATGCATTTTCTGTCTTAAAAGCCACAAAGTTATCTTGTGAATGTTAAGAAATCCATGATATCAACTTGAAAATCCCTATTCTGTGTCCTTGCAGAGAAAACACTTGCTCAGGTCTTGGGACGACCAGCGCTTGTGTAAGATACTTACATGGTTGTTGTTTTGAGTTCATATTTCAAAACGTCACATTCTTGCAGGAAAGCTCAGGTACCTTAAATTATGACATACTTGGAGTTGTCCTTCCTTGTCCTACACATTACTTGACTGCAGAAATCTCACGAGTTTCTATGTCTTCTCTTTGTTGTTCATTTCCAGAGCACAATCATTGTGGAGAAGACAGTGCAAGACCTCATGAACCTGATGCATGACTTGAGTGCATATTCAGATCAATTCCTCAACATGGTGTGCGTGAAGCTCCAGGAGTACAAAGACACCTGCACTGCAGCTTACAGGTAGAGCTTCTGTTAGGAGCTAGGCAAAGTAATGTTTGAGCCTGATGGTGGTTCTGATTGGCGAAATTGCCTCAATAGCCTAACTTCCAACATTATAGAAAAGGATCATCTCCGAGTTTGTCAAGAGATGAGAATATGCATCGCAGAAATAGTCTCCTAGGCCTTTGTGTAGTCAGACCAACAGAGCGAAGGGAAGTGCTGAAGGGACAGGGCCGCTAGGACTGCCGTTGAGTGGCTTAGATTATGTGTCAGCCTTGATGTTCATGAAAACCTAGAATGATAAGATCATGTTCCTCAAGGAAATTCCAGATCTTGGTTAGCCTATCTTGTGATTAAAAAGATCCTTAAAGTAGAGCAATTTGAAATGCTTCATAATCTTTAATAGTACTTCTTTTTAATTCTTAAAAATATATTCTTCCTGATGTTTGATCTGTAGCATTCCTGTTGTCACAAAAGGACAGTTATCCCTGTTTTCAGCATCAGTAGCAATGAAAAACCATTGTTATGAACTTGAAAACCATTAGCTATCCCTCTGATTTCTTTCCCTAGGTTCAAAAAAATCTCTCTGGGCTTGCGGAAAAGATCATAGCACTTCTGTCAGAAAGCTAATAATAGGAACAAATTATGGTCTGGTTGACAAGACATGAAACAATTAGGGAAAGAAAGAATGTATAATAAAATACTAAATTGTATGTGATATATAATTAAGAATAGATAGGTGAAGTGTACTACACAATCAGGAGCTACTTGTACAATATAGACTGTAAAGGCAGAAGGAACAAAACACAAGAAAGAGAAAAGGTTGTAGTCAGGAATGATTTTACAGGTGAGATATGTGCTGGACTGATGAAATTTATGGAGGTGGAGAGATGGAGGGAGCAATAAGACAGTTGCCCACTATTTAAAGGGGACAATTAGGAGGAAGTTTAACTGGAACGGAGTTCCTAGGAGAATATAGTAGGAGATAATGTTGAATAGGAAGATTAAGGCCAACTAACAAGGGGTCATAAAAAAAGAGATCTGAAAATGTAGATGTTGGATAGCAGACAGGGAATCAGTATAAGTGAGCAAGGAAGCCATGTTTAGGGAAGATTAATTTGGCTGAGGAATACAACCTAGGTTAAAGTTTAAACTTCCTCATTCCTGCAACAAGAATTATCCACAGTTTCATGGACAAATTAAAGAACAACCATCTCATTGAGGTACAGTCCTAATAACCTTTTGGGTTCAATAATTATTTATCAAAAACTATATTTAGGTTAAAATCATACATAAAATTACCAATTATGTCAATTGGTTGTGAACTACATAATAATTGTGATAGTAATTCAAACAAAAGAAAGTTAAAATTTAGTGTTGTGGTTACAGAAAATTTAAAGTTTTTGGATTTTAATTTATACAGATAGTCTTTTTTAAGAAGATACTATGGAATAATAAAATAATTTTAAGCATAAAAATATATTTCATTAGGATACATTTCAGTGAGGAAATGAAATAGAAATGATAATTCAAAGAGAAAAAGGAAAAATGAAAAATAACCAGCTATTAAAGAAGAGCCCATTTATATGTATTTTAAATATATAATGGAGAGTATCAAATCCCTATGGCATCAGGATTCCATTGGATACCTTTTTAACATTTTTAACTGACAAATAATAATTATATGTATTATGAGTGCAATGTGATGTTCTTGATATATGAATACATTTATGAAATGATTACATCAATCTGATTCACATATCCATTGCTTCTCATACCTGTCTTTGTGTGTGTGCTGCAAACATTTAAAATCTACTCTCAGCATTTTGAAATATATATTACATGATTATTGATTAGAGTCACCATGATGTTCATTCAGTCTCAAAATGGCATTCCTCCTCACTGAAACTATGTGGCTTCAGCAACATCTCCCGACCTCACCCACCCCCAACCTCTGGCAACCACTGTTCTATCCTCTACTTCTATGAGTTCAACTTCTTTAGATTCCTCGTATAAGTGAAATCATGCAATATTTACCTTTCTGTGCCTGGCCATTGGATACATTTAAAATGGTGATTTTTTTAACAGCGTCAATCTTTAGGATATACCAAAATTTGTATTTTCTGCATCTGTTTAAACACATGCTAAAAAAAAAAAAAAAGCTAAATGTCAGACAGGGAAGGAGAATATAGTTTTTCACAATTATTTTAAGGGATACACCAATAACAGTTGTAAAAACCACTGTTCTGGGTTAATTGCCTGAGATTAGAATTTCTGGACCATACAGTGTTGCATTTTCAATTTTACAAAACCAAGCCCCAAAATGGTAGTACCAACATCTCATCTACCAAAAGAGAATTGAATAAAATATTTTAACTATTAAAACTTAGGCCAGGTACGGTGGCTCACGCCTGTAATCCCCGCACTTTGGGAAGCCGAGGCGGGTGGATCACCTGAGGTCAGGAGTTCAAGACCAGCCTGACCAACATGGTGAGACCCTGTCTCTACCAAAAATTAGCTGGGTGTGGTAGTGCACACCTGTAATCCTAGCTATTCAGGAGGCTGAGGCAGGAGAATCTCTTGAACCTGGGAGGCAGAGGTTGCAGTGAGCTGAGATCGTGCCATTGCACACCAGCCTGTGTGACAGAGTGAGACTCTGTCTGAAAAAATAAAAATAAAACTTAAATATTAAAAAGTTTAAAATTTAATTAATTTTAAATAATTTTAAATTTTAAATAATTTTAAATAATTTCACTTTAATAATATTACATTTTAAATTTATACTTAACCTCCATTCAATGTAAAGCTTTTTTTTTAAGTAGAGCATGCCCTCTTTTTCTAATAAATTGTCTAATTATGAACACCCAATAACTTCTCACAAATAATAATGTTGATAAATAGTAATTATAGTGGAGATGTTGCGTAACCTGACCACGGTAAGGTCAAGTTGTCTCTAGAATGTAAATCCCACTGATGGCCATTTATATAGTATTGTTGACATTGTTGTCTTGAAAGACATGTTTTAAGTTCTCGTAGCTCAGCACTATATTCATCATGGGTGATCTTTTTTCCAATCATTTATGTTCCTGCCTCTCAAGATGTCAAATGGCCGGAGGCCTCCGCATCTACATAGCAGACTGGTCATTGCTGAATGTTTTCATCTGAAAGTTTTCTCTTAGTTTGAAGTGATGCTTCCTATCTGCTGGACATAGTTCTTTTTTCGTAGTGATAACAAATCAGTTCAATCCTTTTACGAAAGCCCTTCCAATATACGAAGATAGCTATCATGGTCAATTTAGTCTTGTTTTTCCTCCTTAAACCGAAGATTCCCAGTTTCTGGGATGCCCTGGTCTACGAACCATCCCAGTCATCTTTCTCCATTACCCATTAGCTTGGCAGTGTCCATCTTAAAAAGAAGTGCCGCAGCCTATGCCCAGTGTTCCAGATGCACTCTTTTATTTTTTATTTTTTTGGAGACAGAGTCTGTTGCCACAGCTGGAGTACAGTGATGCAATCTTGACTCACTGCAGCCTTTGCCTCCAGGTTCAAGCAATTCTCCTGCCTTGGCCTCCTGAGTAGCTGGGACTATAAGTACAAGCCACCATGCCCAACTATTATTCTTTTT